GTCTTCTCCAACCTTAATGATTCTGTGATTTCATGATTCTATGATTCTCTCTCCTCCTGCCCTGACCCATGTGGTTCTGTGGCTTTTTGTCCACCAGCCACCGCAGCACGGGTGTCCCTGTCCTTTTCCCCACAGGACAACTGCCGGCTCTTCCCCAACAAGGACCAGCAGAACTCAGACACCGACTCCTTCGGGGACGCCTGCGACAACTGCCCCAACGTGCCCAATAATGACCAGCGGGACACCGACAGCAACGGCGAGGGGGACGCTTGTGATAATGACATCGATGGGGACGGTGAGTGGCTCTCAGGACTTGCCCGATGTCACAAGGCCAGAGATGCTCACAGAGCAGGGCTGGTGTCACGCCAGGCCAGGGATTGAGGACATCCACCCAGTGCTGTCCTTGCAGGGATTCCCAACATGCTGGACAACTGCCCCAAGGTGCCCAACCCTCTGCAGACGGACCGGGACGAGGACGGCGTTGGGGACGCTTGTGACAGTTGCCCTGAAATGAGCAACCCCACTCAGGTATGGCCGGGGCCAGGCTGGGGTGGGGGGCTCCTGCAGCACCGCTGGGTCCCCTCGCCCTGGGGTGTCTGCTGAACTCGGGCTCTGGTCTCCTCCAGACAGATATGGACAGCGACCTGGTAGGAGACATCTGTGACACCAATGAGGACAGGTGGGGACCACGTTGCTCTGGGGTCACCTCCCTGTCCCATCCTGTCCCTGGGGGAGAGGCAGGCTCCTGGTGCGGGGACCTGCGAGATGGTCTTTGTGGTTGGCAAGGGTGCTGAGACATGGTGCCAGGCCCCTGTTCTTGTCCCAGCGATGGTGACGGGCATCAGGACACCAAGGACAACTGCGCCGAGGTCCCCAACAGCTCCCAGCTAGACTCAGACAACGACGGGCTGGGGGATGACTGTGACAATGACGATGACAATGATGGCATCCCTGACTACGTGGCGCCTGGCCCAGACAACTGCCGCCTCATCCCCAACCCCAACCAGAAGGACTCGGACGGTGAGCGCAGGGTGGGTGGGAGGTGACAGAGCCACCTGGGCTCAGTCTGTCCCTGACCAGGGTGCCTGTCCCTAGGGAATGGCGTGGGTGACGTGTGTGAGGAGGACTTTGACAATGACACGGTGGTGGACCAGCTGGACGTGTGCCCCGAGAGCGCTGAGGTGACGCTGACTGACTTCCGCGCCTACCAGACCGTCATCCTCGACCCTGAGGGGGACGCCCAGATCGATCCCAACTGGGTTGTCCTCAACCAGGTGTGGGTGCTGCCCCCCATGTTTCTGAGATCTGTGCTGCTGGGGTGGGAGTGGATGGGGACCGGGAGGTCCCTGGGGCTGCTGAGGATGTCCCTCACCCAGCTGTCCCCCACAGGGCATGGAGATCGT